CCACCTCGCCTGCCGGTAGAGCAGCTGAGGGCGCGGCACCAAGAGTTCGAAGAAGCACGACTCAGCTCGAGCAGAACGCGTGGAGCTCGAGCGCCACGGAGACGGTGGGCCCGCGCGCGTCGTGGCCCGTGACGTAAACCGGAGGATCATCGAGGATGACGAAGCCCTCCCACACTTCACCCGGGCAAGCTAGAACGTCGCTGCCGCGGCGGTCTTCTCCGTTGGCTTTCGAAGCCCGCGACACCCGAGGATCCTCGGGCCTATCGCGCGAGATCGCGACGCTATCGAAGCGTCTGTGGCAATGGCAAGCAGAGCGAGAGAGCTTCTTTGTCCGACGACGCGAGCTCGATGCCGGCCAGCCCAGCAGCATACCTCGGAGCGACCCGGCGAGGACGTGCGATCCACCAGTGCGGCGAGGCGGCGGCAGCAGCGCGCGCGCTCCGGTGCATGAGCGTCTCGGCCTCCACCGTGACGCGCGCAGCACCCTGGATGCTCGCAGGCGTGCCCGCGGCGATGAGAGGGAGGAGGCTAGACGCGGCTACCACCCTCGTCGTGGCGGACACTACGACAGCGGCGAGGACTGAAGCCCGAGCCCCGACTTGCCGGGACCTCAGACCTTTGGCCGACACATCCTCAACGCTGTCTTCCCAACGCAGTGTCGACCGCCGACCAACATCCCGAAATACTCCGGGAAAACAAACCCCGGACTGTGGCTCGAGGATTATAGGCTTGCTTGCTAAGCCGGTGGAGCGGATAGTGACAATTTCATTATTCGCAACCTTTCATTGTTCCTAGCCGATTCAGCGCGAACGTGGTTAAAACACCTTCCGTCCAACCGAATCCAAAGTTAGACGGACCTGAAAGAGATCTTCGTGGGAAACTTTCAGGGCACATACGCGCGTCCTAGGAACCCATGGGATCCCAAAAACTGCCGACAGAAGTCCGGAGAAACTCTTCGTGGGTACATCCGGCGCCTCTTCCGGTAGTGCAACGAGCTGCCCGACGTTGCCGACATCATAGGAGCTTTTCTGTCCGGAACTACCTGCGAGTCCTTGGTTCACAGGCTGGGATGTAAGGGCCCGCGAACCACCAAGGAGTTCCTCAACATCGCCACCAGCCACGCCTCGGGTGAGGAGGCGGTCAGGGCGATTTTCGACCGCCCCAAGGGCAAGGCAAAGCGGGACGAGGACGCCGGCGAAGGCGCCTCCAACCACCCCAACAAGAAGAGAACAAGCAGCGACGCTAGGGCTGCGCATCGCCATCGAGTTGGGTATCCGACGGCTTTACATCCGGGGCGACTCCCAGCTGGTCATCGATCAAGTCATGAAGGAATCAAGCTGCACAACGCTAAGATGGCTACGTATTGCCGAGAAGTCCGTCAGCTGGAGAACAAGTTCGAAGGTCTCGAGCTCAATCACATCCCGAGCCGTCTCAATGAGGCGGCCGACACGCTGGCGAAAACGGCGTCCGGCCGAGAGCCGATGCCGACGGGCATCTTCGCCAACGATAAGTACAAGCCCTCGGTCCGCTACGAGGAGCCGAAACAGACCGATGATGGGCCGCCTACCCTGGGCTTGGGGGCTAACCAGCCGGTGGCTTCATCCGACCCCGAAGTCATGGAGCTTTGACGCGGATCCAGTGACAGAGTCCGATCCTCTGGCCGACTGGAGGACGCCTTACCTCGACTACCTCCTCTCGTGAGGCGCTGTCGACGGACAAACAGGAGGCTCGGCGGCTCGCGCGTCGCGCCAAGGCCTTTGTCGTTATTGAGGGCGAGCGGTGAAGCCACACCAGGATCCTGCAGCGCTGCATCCCCATCGAACAAGGGAAGCAGTTGTTGAGTGATATCCACGGTGGGGTCTGCGGGCACCATGCCGCACCTAGGACCATGGTCGGAAACGCGTTCCGACAAGGCTTCTACTGACCGACTGCAGTAGCCGACGGTGAACAGACTGTGCGCGCCTGTGAAGGGTGTCAATACTACGCTCGGCAGACACACCTGTCGGCCCAAACACTCCAAACGATCCCCATCACGTGGCCGTTCGCGGGGGCTAGATCTGGTCGGACCTCTCAAGAGGGCGCCCGGGGCTATACGCATTTGCTTGTCAGCCTGAGGATGACCCCCAGCCGAGCCACCGGCTACACGCCATTCTTCATGGTCTACGGTTCCGAGGCTATCCTCCCGACCGACCTCGATTATGGAGCGCCGAGGGTCAGGGCGTACGACGAACAGGGAGCCGAGGCGTCCCTCGAGTATTGCCATGGACCAGCTAGATGAAGCGCGCGACGTTGCCCTCCTCCGCTCGGCCAAGTACCAGCAAGCGTTGCGCCGGTACCACAACCGTCGAGTGCGGGGTCGGCCCTTCAACGTCGGGGACCTGGTGCTCCGCCTCGTCCAGAGCAACAAGAACCGTCACAAGCTCTCTCCGCCGTAGGATGAACCGTACGTCGTCGCGGAGGTGCTCCCACCAGGCACCTATAAGGTCAAGACCATCGACGGCGAAGTCTTCGTCAACGCCTGAAACATCGAACAGCTACGTCGCTTTTACCCTTAATCTACGCACGCTTTCTCTTATCGGTTTCGCTATCGACTCCTCGATCTTTAATGACACCCGATCCCAGCAACGGCAAGGGGTCGGGCCTCATTCGGGGGCTGATAAGAGCATATCAATTCGATAGACATTCTCTATGCCTAACCCTTTCTCACGTTAAGATCTAAAATCAAGGGTTGCGGAAACAAATGCCGAGTAAAATTGGTTGGACCGCAAGAAACCTACGTCCCAGCAGCTACGGCGTTTTTGCTCACCAGCATGATCAGAGTTTTTTGCCTGCACCCCGAGCTTTTTAGCCTTAACTATGGAAAGAGTCGGAACGCATTAAAGAGTATATCTACCCGGCAAACATTCTCTATGCCCGACCCTTTCTCACGTTAAGATCTAGAAGCAAGGGTTGCAAAAACGAATGCTGAGTAAAACTGGTCGGACTGCAAGAAACCTACGCCCCAGTGGCTATGGCGTTTTTGCTCACCAGCGTGATCAGAGTTTTCACCCGCTCCCCGAGCTTTACAGCCTTAACGACGGAAAGGGTTGGAACGCATTCACCTTTTTATAAAAAAAGGGGAGAAGAGCAAAAAATCTCTTTGGCCATAACGAAATTTAAGAGCTTGCCCACTTATTACAAGTTTGTCGTCTGGCTTATCTACCTAACTAATTTCTTAGGGGGGTGATCTCATCCTCTATCTCGCGCTGGTAAGTCCTGTGCCAGACGGGCCACCTTCTTCTCGATGTCGTCCAGCTCGGCGTCGGTGTAGACAGGCGCGAGAACCGTCACAAGTAAGGTGGGATACGGAGCTGAAAACGCTCCTACGGCCCATTCAGACCCAGGAGTTCGAAGGCTGGCCCTCCGACGGGTTCACAGCCGCTCCGGGGTGCCCTTAGAGTGAGGGTGGAAAGGGATGAGCCCACTAGCGGCCAGTACCCGGGCGCACGAGCGCCGCGGGCATCCCGACCCACGTTCGAGTCTTGGTCGGTTCCCAGTCCATGGTTTTTCCTCGAAGAAAGGTAATGAGCCCTTGGGACCGGTCGAACGGACCCGAGAACTATATAGATTGACCACTGAGAATCTAGAGTCGGTCACCAGCTAACCCATGCCGGACCTCCGCGAACGGGAAACCGGGTCCCCACTCGGACTAGCCTGTTAACAGCACACCGAGCTCCAGGTTTCATCCATCGAGGAAAAACGTGGCACGGCTCGGTCCCTCCGTTTTATCGAAAAAAAACGCTTAAGGGATGACGATCACAGAGACGAGCCGACCCTCGACCGGACCCCTACTACGCGCGGGGGCTCGAGACGTATTAAAAGGTGTCGCCCGACCCCTTGGGTGCGGGCTCCGTGTCGCCCGACCCCAAGCATGCGATTGCCGTCTCGCCCAAGGTCACGGGCTTTGTCTCGCCCGACCTCGAGGACGCGGGTTCCGTCTCGTCCGACAGGGACCCATACCGCCGCCAACCATTTTAGGTCCAAGCGTTTGGGCCTGGGTCAAAACTCTGACGCCAGGGAAGAGGCTGGCACGTCTCGATGTAACCCGTGGCCATGACGGGCCATACTTGGAGATTCACATCAAGAACAGTGTCGGGCCTATCGGTGCTGTTTTGCCTAATCCTCGTACGGATGCTGACCGGCGCGTCAGTTTACCACGACGTCCGCCGGGACGGAGTTGAACGCCATGATCGGTAGATGACGCTTGCGCATGGTGTCAGTGACAAACAGGGCCGCGACATGTAGCCGTTCTTGTTGACATCTACAGGATCGGCGGGACCCGCATGAAGGAGAAGGACCCGGCAACCCTGGAAGCCTTCTTCTCTCTCGTTCTTCTCCTTTTCCTCGTCTGTAACCTGTGTTTTCCCTTCGCCTACAAAAGGGGAAGCAGGGCGCCCCATGAAAAGGGGGATCTGAACACAAGAGCACGACACGAGCACACGGCTGAGCGGCAAGCGAGCTCTCAGCACTCGTTCACTCCTTCCACCAGAGACTTGGGATCCTCTCCCTCTCTCGCCTGTTTGTAACCCCTGCTGCAAACTAAGTGCCGGTAACACGAGTAGCAGCAAACTGGACGTAGGGATGTTTCGCTCGAACCAGTATAAACCCTTGTGTCCTCCGAGCACACCATTCGAGCCAGACGCGCAAATACAAATTTACTCGTCGGTGGTCCGAAAACACCGACACAGTGGAAATGCAGTCCATAACAATAAACGACAGACCAGATTTACAATTATGTTTATATGATATAACTATTGTGTATTCCTTCAACTGACATGGCTTTGTAAATGCTGCAGTGGGATACTGCTGGGCAAGAGCGCTTCAGGACAATCACTAGCAGCTACTACCGCGGAGCTCATGGAATCATTGTAAGTTGCCACCTGAACTAGAAACTTCTGAAACTTGTCAACCATATTGATTTATTGCTCATGCTACGATATTGTCTTATTGTTGGCTTGCAGATTGTATATGACGTGACAGACCAAGAAAGCTTCAATAATGTGAAGCAATGGTTAAATGAAATTGACCGTTATGCAAGTGACAATGTTAACAAGCTCCTTGTTGGGAACAAGAGCGACCTAACTGCCAACAAAGTTGTGGCAACTGAGACAGCAAAGGTAAGCTATCTAGTTTCATGAATAGATCATGGCAAGGTCAGCAATACTTCACTTTTCTCCACTCCCCTATGAGTTCTTTGGATATTCACGAATGATTAAAAACACTATCCAGGCGTTTGCTGATGAGATGGGCATCCCATTCATGGAGACGAGTGCCAAAAATGCCTCCAACGTGGAGCAGGCCTTCATGGCTATGGCTGCATCCATCAAGGATAGGTACAGCCAACGTGCCATGTGGTAAATATTCTATTGCCATCGTGAAATCCTACTGGTGTTAACGAAATCCTACTTGCTGCTGTTCTCAGGATGGCCAGCCAACCAGCCGCGGCAAACGCAAGGCCAGCGACGGTGCAGATCCGCGGGCAACCCGTCAACCAGAAGACGTCTTGTTGCTCGTCCTAAGATTGCCTGATTTCATTGGTTCCTTGTGACTATTACTACCGTTTGTGCGAGCACGCAAATGTATTTGCATTATTGCTGATAGCATCTATTCGTTGGCCAGATGATTAGAGAGCTGAAAATATGTTAAGAACATCGTAGAGAGAAGTTCCTCAGTGCTCTCTCTCGACTTAAGGAGCAAACAGCAACACTTTTACTTCATTTTTTTCTACTTTACTATAGCCTCGCTGTTTATTAGTCGCGTTACATTACATTTGTGAACAGCTATTGTAATATTTTTTACTCTATATTCGTAGTGAGATGAAATTCCTGTGTGGGCAACAAATTTCCCTTTTGGCTAGTTGAGTGGTCATATTCGTATATTCATGATCGATCATTGTGGCCGGTGACGGGACCCGCCCTTGTGGCATCCCACTGGTCTGTGGACTGTGAGTGTGAGTGGGTGGGATGCGCCTTTCCTTCACGAAAATGTAGTGCGTTTTGGACATGCAGAAGCAGAACACCGCCGCTTGGCCCACCACCACCGCCAATGGCTGTGTCCTGTGTGGTGTGTCCCATGTTGATGTTCACACAAGATAATGTTTGAGACGCGAAGCGATGTCGGGGCACCGGCGCACCGCTGATCGTGAGGCACTGAGATACCCATGTTGATGTTCACACAAGATAATGTTTGAGACGCGAAGCGTTGTCGGGGCACCGGCGCACCGCTGATCGTGAGGCACTGAGATATTCACTTTTTTTTTCTCCTTGAAACTAGAAATAATATACTAGCATTATTTATGGTCCCATGTTTATATTGTTTATATTGGTAAAGTTTAAGGCCCTGTTCGCTTCGCTGAAAAAACAAGTCAAAATACTGTTCCGGCTGATTTGTTGTGAGAGAAAAACAATGTTTCGATTAAAAAAAAGTTGAAAAGTATGGATTATAAGAAGAAGCGAACATGGCTTAGTGACTTTCCAGAAATTTTACCGGAAAGCACAAGAGTCGTCACTTCAAATATATACTATCTACAAAAGCAGGCAAAAATATTTGGGGTCTTTTTCACCTGCTCCTCGTGGTCAGTCAGGCCGTCCGTCACCCAACGGGGGCATGATGGACATGGACATGCACTCATGCGTCTCATCCCATCTCAAGTACGTTAGTTGGACCTAGTTCCGAGCCGTGGTACTCTCTGATGCACCGCCCTGATGCACAGATGCACCGCCGGCTTTGCCGCTGCCAAACACCAATCGACGAACGCGTTCGTGTGACGGTGTGAGTCTGTGAGATCTCGGTGTGCAGGCAGCACCGCCACACAACACGGCGATTCCCTCACGGAAAGGCGAGTAGTGGCCGTGCCCATCTCGCCGGCGCCCCGCAAGATTCGCCCGGAAAAGCCCGGCGCTTTTTTCCGTCCACCACAAAGCGACGGTACTGCTGAATTGAACACGCGGAACACGATGGTGGCGATGGTTTTTTGGGGGAGGGCATGGATGATTCGGAAACAAGATCCAAAATTTGTGGCGGTCTCACGTGGTCCGAGCATTACTTATTTTATTAAATCAGATTAGACTATAAGAGCAACTCCCGATTTGAATTTTTAGTAAAAAATTAAAATTGTCTCCTCCAACAATTTATTCTTATGCAAATATAAGAAGTTGCTAAAATTCTTCTCTGACTAACTCTCCTCATTCAATAGCAAGTTGTTTTCTCTCTCTCTCTCTCTTTTTTTTTTTTGCCATGTACGTATTTTCTCTGTCCTAGCTCCTTATGTCGGTTTAGACCACGCACGACAATCAGCCTACCGCCAGGCTAGATGTGGCCGTGCCAATTAGGGTGGGGGTTGCAATTGAGCCTGGCCGGCCACTAGCTTCCCAAAGCCGCCCCCACCCAGCCACAGGCTATGCCCAACTGGCTGACGACTAGATCTGGCCTCTGGCGACCCTCCAATAAACCAGACCAAGTTAAGCTATCACCACTGGCTCATGCTTAACTTAATCTTGTTAATCTGGATTATCCCCGGGTAGCTCCAAGGTACTAACTATTTAGCAAGCCTTCACCCAGGATCATGCCACATAGGCACGTACATTGTTCACACAAGTTCACTACTTCTCATAGAAACACAAGTTTAAACCTTACAACATAAATTTTGAAACACATTAGTCAACATACCATATGTTCAGATCATCCAACATCAAGTTACAACGGAAGTTTACCAAACATAGTTCATAAACTGTCCACGAGCCATGCCACACTCGGAGGCCTATGATCATTACACCAGTCATCTACTACTCCCAGGCTGCCCAAGGAGCGAGGGTATGGAAGTATCCATAGATAGGGGCACCCTCACCTTCAAAACAATTCAAAATATCATTTTGAATGTAAGGAGGTAAATAATAGGTTTTACCCAAAAATAAGCACAAGGATAATGCAATACAGCCTTAGCAAGATATAAAAGCTAAGTTATGCATAAAGGCATCGGTACAATAAGTAAAGGCTTTCTATCGTCTAATTTCTAAGCATAACATGGTTGGATGAGCGGGACACTTTTAGTTATGTTCTTGGTTGTTCCTAAACCAAACACTAGGACAAAGTGGAATATCTACTTCGTTCCTATCCCGCCCTCAAACCAAATGCTATCTTTTGTCTCACTTGTTTGGCAACTAGTTAGGGGTACAAGCAAGAACATGAAACCATTGTCATTGTTAGGGGTTGCTTCCACTTGTTGGTCAATCCGACTCGGTGGAAATGGAAATAATATTATTTTTGGTGAAATCTATTTCTTCTCCTATGCAAGTCATCTACAGAATTATTCATCGGTTCCATACTTGGGCTGTGCTCTAGAAGCAAGATATATGTAAGATTTGGTTATTGTGGCGGCATCATAATGTTTAGCATAAGCTAGCAATCGTGGTTATTTCGCATAGATCTTTCGTTTATGCTCCATCTTCTCTTTTAGATATCAGAAGATCTATGCTTTGTGAGTGATTGAACACGTAAAACTTACACCATGCTTTAGTACTAGCACATATCAACGCTGTATATATACCAGAAAACATGAAGGTCGTATCAGCGATGTCGTTTCTTTTTATGCCCAAACTGTATTGCGCACTTGTATAAAGACATCTGCAAGTACGGTGTCGATCACTCGATCTCTGATGCAAAAAAGCCACTTCAATTAGTGGTGAAGTCAGTGGGGAGAAGCAACTAAACATCCTGGTCCCATATGAAGATGACGTTCATTAGCCCCGGTGGGCCGTGTGGTGGTTAGCGTTACGTGGTCAACTCACCCGCGCTGTCATTTCTCGGCGGCGATCGCTGCCAACTGATCCATCCGATCTCTTTCCATCACGTTCCTCACCACCTCAATATAATCTGCATTGTTCACGCCCTGGATTTAGGTACGTACTATCCCTCGTCCCCCTTGTTGGCTTGTTGCTCGTCTCCGTCCATGGCGTTCGTTCACCAGGGTCATCCACGATTAGACTAATCCACCATCCTGCTAGTTGATTGGCCACTGGCGCCATTTCATCACGTCTCTCTAATTAATGGCGTCCGTCCAGTACTTGTCGCCTGTGGATAAAAATAATCACATGCTTGGTCCATTGACATTTCGGAAGAATTCGGAGTGCGTCAACTTGCCCACGCGCAGCTAGCAAGGGCTTCTGTTCTGCTGCCTCTCCTCGATCATCTCCATTATCTCCCGTCAAATGAGATGAGACGACGAAGGTAACTCGTGTTTCGCAGATCCACTTCAGGAATAAAAAGGATACTTGATGAACTACTACTGCCTAACTTGAAAAGGAGTTGCTACCACGAGCACGAGCACCATGTTTGTTTGTTTTATTAAAAAAAAAAGTACTTTACAAAAGAGAGGGGGAGATAGACACAAAAGAAACGGGAAATAATTGAAAAGCAGCTCCTGCTGAAAACGTCTTTCACTACAGCGCTACGACGACGGATAAAAAGGAGGCGCCCTCGATGATGGACCGCAAAGCACGAAACTGATCGCTGAATTCGACCGCCAAGTAGGACCACAGCACATGCATGCATGAGTCCATGGCCATACACGAGGCGACTTTTTTTTAACACTTTTTTTTAAACTAATTTTAAATCTAACATTGTTTTTTTCTTTCAAAACTAACACTTTTGCCGCGCCTATTTTCCTAGCGCGGCGAAACACCTGTGCCGCGCCATGCACGGTAGCGCGGCGAGGGAATGACGTGGCGACGAACGTGACGCTGACCTGCGCCACCGATCTTGGGGCGGCACTGACGCGCCATAGCCCACGGCGCGGCACTGACGCGCCAAGGCCCACGGCGCGGCAGGACCTGGACGCAGACAGAAACCGACCAGCCTCAATTGCAATTGAATGGGAGCTGAACAACTACAAGTGCCGCGACACATTGAAATGAATATGAAGCAAATAAATGGAGTCCGTGCGCAAGTTGACAAGTTATCACATAACATTTTCATTGGTTCGACATAAGTTCGACATAACCAACTAAGTCTGCAAGTTTCGGACGACAATATTCGTTCGACATAACCAACTAAGTCCTAGAAGTGTAAGGATCCCTCGAACGTCTCTATCTCTTCGGATTTATAGGCAACACATTGGAAGTGTAGCCAACGTTGGTGTGGTCGCGTTGCTGGTGCGTACGGCTCGTACCCTGCAAGTATATGATATGCACGATTACTTATAATCTTTATGATCGTTAGCTCATGGAGCCTACGTATTTAAAGAAACTACTTTTATTACTACTTGTGAGGCTCCTTTGGTACCAAACGGGGCACCACCTAGCTGAGACATGCCGATCTCGTCCTGCTGCCAATTGTCCCACTGGTGGTGCTGTATGCGGAAGCCCGGGGGGTCGTCGTCGTCATCATCATCGTCGCCCTCGTCGTCCTCGTTTGCAGGGTCATTCCTAGCGCTATGATGTGGTGGTGTACGCACTGCGGAAGCGACACCTGTCACCGGCTGAGAAGAGCCGGCTGGTGTCCTCAAAGAGCTAGAAGACGTGCCACCCGACCGCGCGGTAATCGGGTTCCACCCAAGGAGTGTCCATGCAGCTCAACTTCTGAACTAGCTTCATGCAGCTCCGCTTCACCTTTTGCATAAATAGGCGTTAAAGTTAGTGCATTTCCTAAATGCATATACACTAAAGAAACATTTTCAGAACGGACAAGTTTATGTTTACCTCCACAAAAACCTCGAGAACGCCTGGCCCGTTCCAATGCTGCATTGAACACGATAATGAATTAGCCATTAATAATTTCATCATATGTAACTGCCTCGAAGAATATAGTGAACTGAAGTACTTACCGGTAAACCAGTAACAAGGGGCCTTCCAACGGACCATCGTTTCCAACACCAAACCTGGAGTAGGTAGGAGCAACCCCCAAGGTTCGCATACCCTAAGGTGCGATGACAGGCAATGCATAGCTGTCGATACGTCTATGTCAGGACTGCGCTGCCCCAGCTGTACGCCGCTATGTTATCCCACGGCTGACGTAGTATGTCAAGAAAGATCCAACTGATGGTGTTGCCCGAGGCGTCTGGGAATAGAAAAGCACCAAGAAAGTGGCAGAGCCACACTCTAGCGATCTTGTCGATCTAAGCCTCATCAGCCTGTGGGTCCAAGTAATCAAAGCGCTATGTGATCCACGACGACGAAACACCGGAACTTTTCCTGAAATTCACCAAAGAAAATAAGACCCGATGGTTGTAGGAAAGCAATACAAGTATTAAATAGGCTTGAATTGCTCACTTATTTTTCTTGAAAACCTCGTCGTCCGGTGGAAGAAAGCCAGTGAACTGAGCCACCAGCTCCCTCCAGTGATCGTTGTCAACTATACCTGTTACTGAAAGTCCCCCTAACCAAAGGCCAAAGATAGCCTTCACGTCCTGCATGGTCAAGGTCATCTCGGTAGATGGAACGTGTGGGTCTCAGGCCTCCACCTGTTATAAGAATAGAACGACTGTTAGTTGCCTCAAATTTGTTATAAGAATGTTTACGTACAATGAAGGCACTCGCACATGTCTACAGCTGCAGTAAGTAGTGCTGGGTCAAGGGGCGGAAGACCGTAGTTGATAATACGGACAAGCTCGAGGAAGCCGGCACGCCGTATGTATGGCGCGTAACGCTCGTCCCACTGGTGCGTCCTGGTGTACGTGCGGAGCCTCAAAGGAGGTAAGGGCACCTCTGCGTCAGTGTGAGTCAAGAAGTGTGCTCGGTGCGGGTCGTCGTACTCCACCTCAAGAAGAGGGTACAACTGGTGCTACGCGAGAGGAGCAATCCTGTTACAAATTGATAAACAAAGGGTTAGAGTATTCAAATTAAAAATATTCAAATTAACATTATGTAGCATTGCAAAATTTAAATTACTTGTTATGCAATACGAACACAATATGAAAGCACATGTATATATTTAAAGTAACATTAACAGACATATTAAACAATTTAACTAGAAAAATAAGCAACTTCTATGTATAGCTGTTCAGACACAAGACAACTAGAAGATGCTGTAACTGCATTTGCTATATAGCTTTCCTTTCTTTTTCATTGCACGGTTGATTTACAGTATATAATTTACACGATCTATAATTGAGGAGATGACATAACTGCATTTACTATGTAGCTTTTCTTTCTTTCCTCTCATAATAGCTCGTTTCCATCCACCAGAAGCGATGGCCTTTCCCCACTCGCTCATCACGTTTAAGCATTTACGCCCAACTTGAAACGACAAATTAAAGCCACGGCTTCGCGCTAGCGAGTACGCTAAAAGCTTCTTTGTCAACTTTAGAATGAAAACGAATACGGATAATATGGGAAGCTATTCACGACACCGCGCTAATGAGTATGCTAGAGGTTCCGTTACTAACTGCTATAAGAAAACAGATGAATGTATCTATGGACGGGTGAACGTATCTATAGAAAATTTAGGAAAACAAAACCATAGTTTCGTGGCACTGAGTATGCTAAAAGCATCTTTGCTAACTTTAAAATAAAAATAGATACATATAATATAGAAAGATAACCATAGCCCCACGATAATAATATATATACTATAAGGTTCTTTGCCAACTCCAAAATGAAATGTGATAAATATATTTTACAAAAGAAATTTAACAAAACATACACGCATAATTCATTACACACGAGACTGTTGATATCCCTAACAAATACCTATATGAATTTTACAAAAGCTTGCTGAATTTTACAAATACCTATGTGCGTGGCCGGAGAGCGCGGCGGGCGGCCGGAGGGTGTGGCGCTCCGGCGTGCGGGCACGGGCGGCCGCCGGCGCGGGCGTTAAATGGCGCGGCGTGGCGTGCGGCGTGGCGGCGGCGAGGCCGGCCGCGGCCGGAGGTGCTTGTTGGCGGGCGGCGAGCGAGAGGAGGCGCGCTCGTGGGCGATATTTACCTGGGACTTCCGCGCCGTTATGGATGGCGCGGCACTGCCGCGCCAAGATCGGTGGTGCGGCAGAACCTACCACGTCACCGGTCAGCGCCCCGGTCGTCGCCACGTCATCCCCCTCGCCGCGCCACCATGCATGGCGCAGCACAGGTGTTTCGCCGCGTCAGGAAAATAGGCACGACCAAAAGTGTTAGTTTTTTTAAAAAATAAACAGTGTTAGATTTAAAATCAGTTTAAAAAAGTGTTAAAAAATCCACTAGGCGAGCCGATTGATTAGCGAGCCCAACTCTTGAATTTGAATCTGACCTCCGGTCCAAATTCCAGTTCAAATGCGGTTGCGTTTCAAAGCTTGTTCTGGCCAACGACCCCAGTCCGTCCGTCCGCGTTCATACGTCCATACGGAAACTAAACTTGGCAACTACTTGTGAAACCTTTGACATTCGTCTGTGCCTCGATAGCTAGCGAGCGTCGTGATTTGTTTACTACGCGAACGATCGGTACGGATGCTTAAGTATTGGAGGCCGAACATGTCTGCAGATGGGAGAGAGCGAGCTACTAGTAGATCGGATCGGGCCATCACGTCGGGGAACAAAAAAAGCTGGAGGCAAGAGTTGAACGCCGGCTAATGGTAGCTGGGACAGCGCGGACAAACACGGTGGTTTGACCTGGCAAACTGTATAGCTGCCTGCCTAGCTGGCCTTGAGACTGCAATTCGAGAGTCAACTAACACTGCTTGCATCGGGGAGCCTTGCGTCACCGACTCACCGGACCCGGATGTGTGAATCCACCAGGCCCACGCGCGGTCTCCACCCCCGCTGCTCTAAACCTGGGCGCGCACCGCCACGTGGACACGCGCTCCTCGACGAATGCTAAAACGAGGACCGCCCCTGGCGCGCGCCACCCCCACACACATGGCGCGCCAATTCTTCTACCCTGATGCCCGCCCCTCGCGCACGGAACTGACGACGGACCGAAAGGAACTCGCCGTCGCCGAGTCAAGGCGGCAGCAAAGTCCAAGGCACCCGCCCGCGCACCGCGTAACTACTTGTACACGCAGCTTGCCGCTTGCCGCTTGCCAACGCTGTCAGTGTCAGGGGCGTGGACTAGTCGGCACGCAGGCAGCTGGCAGCCAGAGCCAGGCGCTCGGTTCGTCGGGCTCGGCGGCAGTTGCAGGGCCGATCCGTCGTCCCGCGCCCTGACCAGCAGAGCAGGGCGCGCATGCGTATGCCTGCCCCCCACCCGCCCCGCGACCTTGTCGCGGGCCTCCCTCGGGGCCATGGAATCGCGACGTCCCAGTCGCAAGTGGCAACCACTCCATTAATAATAGTCATCCTCAGCCCTAGACGCTTCCTCCCCGGACCCCGGTTATAAAAACCCGTCGCCCGCCGTGTCATCTCACATTTCGGAAGCTAGCTTAGAACGGGAAACCCGATGACAATAGCAGCCGCGGTGACCGCGCCCACGTCCGCGCCAGTGCACGTCGCGCCGCGCCACGCCACCCCCTCGGTCGTCCAGCCGCGCGCCGCGCCGCGCCGGGACCCGTCGCCGCTGAACCCCAACACGCCGGCGCAGGCGCTCCGGTCGGCCAGCCCCGGCGGCTGGTCTTCTGCAGCTGCTGCGGCCACGGATGGCGGCGCCAGGGCTCACATCGCCAACCTTGACAAGGTGCTCGGGAAGCCGCCGCAGGTGCCGAGGCTCGCCGCGGCCGCGAGCAACAAGCAGGGGCAGGGGCAGGGGCAGGAGCAGGAGCCGCTCAACGTCAGGCACGGCCTGCTCAACGCGCTGAACCTGTCCTTCTTCGTGCCCATGCCCGGGATGCGGGCGCGGACGGCCGCCGACGAGCACATGTCGCCGCGGAGCCTCATGCACATGCAGCAGGTCCTCTCGGCCGACTCCCCGCGGGCCTCCCCGCGGTGCACCATCGCGCCTCGCTGGCGCAGGCTCCACGGGGAAGGCGGCTGGGAGGGCCTCCTCGACCCGCTGGACTCGGACCTCCGGCGCGAGCTGCTCCGGTACGGCGACTTCGTGCAGGCCGCGTACCAGGCGTTCCACTCGCTGCCCACCGCGTCGGCGAGGCACCGCGGGCTCATGCTCCCCGACCGCTCCTACCGCCCCACGCGCAGCCTCTTCGCCACCTCCGCGCTGTCCATGCCGCCGTGGGCCAAGCGCCCCAACACGCCCGAGTGGCTCACGCAGCAGTCCAACTGGGTCGGCTACGTCGCCGTCTGCGAGTCGGAGCGGGAGGTCGCCCGCATGGGCCGCCGCGACATCGCCATCGTGCTGCGCGGCACCGCCACCTGCCTCGAGTGGGCGGAGAACCTCCGCACCTCGCTGGTGCCCCTCGACGGCGACAGCAGCGACGGCGCCGACACGTCCGGAGCGGAGGAGCCCAAGGTGGCGCGGGGCTTCCTCAGCCTGTACAAGACGGCCGGGGAGAAGGTCAAGAGCCTGTCGGAGGAGGTGATGGACGAGGTGCGGCGCCTCATGGACAAGTACAAGGGCGAGGAGCTCAGCATCACGATCGTCGGACACAGCCTCGGCGCCGCCCTGGCGCTCCTCGTGGCCGACGAGGTCGCCACGTCCATCCCCGACGCGCCCCCCGTCGCCGTGGTCTCCTTCGGGGGGCCCAAGGTGGGCAACGCCGCGTTCGTCGATAGGATCACCAGCAGCGGCAAGGTCAACGTCCTGCGCATCGTCAACGCCGGCGACGTCGTCACCAAGGTGCCCGGGGTGGCTCCGCGGCTGCCGCACAAGAAGGAGCAGTACCAGCACGTGGGCGCCGAGCTCCGGATCGACAGCAAGAACTCGCCGTGCCTCCGCCCGGACGCCGGGCCCGCGTGCCGCCACGACCTGGAGGCGTACCTGCACCTCATCGACGGGTTCACGGGGACGGGGCGCCCGTTTCGGCACGACGCGCGGCGCAGCGTCATCCGCCTCCTGCAGCTGCAGAGGGGCAACGTCAAGAAGGAGTACGTGAACCGTGCGCGCGAGCTCGGCGTCGACCCCGCCGCGCCGGCGGACGTCGGCCGGAGCATGGCGTACGGCAACTGCGCCGTCGCCAGCCCCTCGTGAGGGATCAAATTATTATTACGTCTCCTTCGGTGGACCGTCTTGTAAATTTTGTAGGAGAAAGAAGAATTATTTCGTTAGTTGCGGGTGCGAGCCGGGAAAGATGAAGATCTCCCATTTTCCGTTTCGTTTCGTTTCGTTTTGACGTCGACGCATGTGTACAGGGAAAAAAAATCAAGCAAGCGCTAGTGCGCGCGCAGCACAAACAATCAGCAAGTGAAAGCGTGACCTTGATGTGTTGTTTGCCGCTTGCCACTTGCTATTGTGAAATGTTCAATGCTTCATTGTTTCTTTCCGAGAGAGACTGCCTTATTACTCATAGTAACTTGGAAATTTTCAACTCTTTGGATTGGACATATTAAAAATTGATTGCAGGGTGGGGGTGGGGGTGGGGTGGGTTAACCAGGATCGGGGCTTCTGTAGTTGGGCTGATTCTTGCATGTCATGTTAAACTGGACGTAATGACAGTTACTATCAACGTCAAAGCATCAGCAGGACCGAAAATCCTCTGATGCCTATCCTGGAAGCTTGTGCAAGTTCTGAGCTAGATGCAAGTTTGTGAGACTTGCGCGTGCGCCCTTTCCTAATCTTTTCCTCTACTCTCAATCCTATTGGACGCTGTTTAGATGAATTAAATTAATAACTGTTAGCTACGGCTAAAAATTAGCCAACTACAAATAGACTAGTGTTAGCACATGTTTGATTGGATTCATAGCTAATATCTTTATAGGTGACTACAAATAGACTATTGTGCTCTTTAACTTTCTCTTTCGTCTCACCGTCCAAACCAGACACCTCGTCTACTCTCTCTCTCTCTCTCTCACCGCACAGGCCATGAGACAACCAAACTCGCAAGCAAAGACAGGCCATCTAGGTTCGTAGGCCAAGGCGGGCCGTGACGGAGGCGGACCATGGCGTGGCCAGGGAGGCACGGTGTAAAGGTGGGCTACATCGGAGACAACCCACGGCGGGGGTGAACTCAGAGACAGAGTCGGTCCAGTGCTAGGGCATCATCCAAGTAGTGGCTGCATCCAAATGGAGCGTAGGAAGCCGCCAGGGGAAGGAATGGTTGGACAGCGTAGGATCGGATAGGATGTGACGTGGGAGGCCTATCTCATGTTCGCTTGGCTGATAAGTCACGGCTTAAAGTATTATTGGCTGATTTGTTTTGAAAGAAAAATATTGTTCGTTGACTGAAAAAATACGACTTATAAGCCAAACGAATAGGGCGCTAAGCGGAGGGGCACTGTCACGCCCCAAACCAGAGCCTAGACAGGACAGCCGCCCCATGATTATAAAAGTTAATTTATAACCCTACAAGACGTATAATAAACTTAAACGAGAAGTGGACCAAAATCATTCTTCTTTATTTATTCATATTTATTATGGTACATTTTACATGATAAAAAAACAAGTATTCAAACTGCTAGATGCTACTATAGCTACATCTAGTCATTCCCCTTCTCGCCTAGCTTAGTCCGTTTTCATAAGCTGCAAAAGCATAAATACAAGCAAGGGTGAGTACGGTGAATCATACTCAGCAAACAGGTACATGATATTAACAAAACCAACAAAATGCGCGGAAACAAGAAATATTTAACACGTCATATTGATAATATTTTGAAAACAAACAATAGTTTAAACTGGTGACACACATGACCGCAAGCTTCCCAACCCGAGAGTCACAAGGGTGAAATTTCACGCTTTTACACTTTATAGAGGGGTACCAGAACACCATGAGTACATGCATGTTCTAGAAGAGCAGAGCTCTTTGGCCCTCTGGGAATAGGATCTCTTGACTTACTAGTGTATGGGCGCTTCTATTTAGGCCCCATAGCCGGCTCAAGTTTACTCTCTTGGTCATTTATATTGACATAGCAACCTTGTGAGCTTAGCCAAAGCCCTCCCACTTATCTCCATCATTGATTCATCATCTTTGTGAGATTGGGAGAGAATCCAAGTGCATTGCTTAAGTGTTTGCATCTAGAGGCACTTGGAGTTCGTGTTTCGCTGCGGGTTTCGCTTGTTACTCTTGGTGGTTGCCGCCACCAAGACGGCTTGGAGTAGCGAGGATCGTCGAGCGGAGGGTGGTGATTGTCTCCGGCTCCGATCGTGGTGATTGTGAGGGATTCTTGACCTTTCCCCGGTGGAGCGTCAAAAGGTACTCTAGTGGATTGCTCGTGGCTTGTGTGATCCTCATCTTGTGTTGGTTGTGCGGCACCCTATTGAGGGTTTAGCGTGTGAAGCCAATTATCGCGTGAACCTCCAAGTGAGTGAATCGCCACAACGAGAACTAGCTTGCCGGCAAGAAGGTGAACCTCGGTAAAAAATCATTGTGTTCATCATTGATTCCGAGGTGATTGGTCTTCATTGTTATCCACACTTGTGATTGATTGGTTCATACATCTACACGACGGTATAACCTTCTTGCCTACTCTTTATATTACTGCAAACTAGTTGTCAAGCTCTTTAGTGTAACTAGTTGTAAGAGCTTGTTAGTTTGGTTAGTGTGGCTCTTTAGTTAGTCTTTGAGAGCATACTAACTTAGTGTAGTGATATAGCCATTGTGTGGATATACTCTATCTAAACTAAAATTGTGGTAGGTGGCTTGCTTTTTGGTAGGCTAGCGCAAAACTCGCTTCGCCTTATAATTGTCTAATCCTTTTGTTAAGTGTTGTTGTAGAAATTTTATTAGGCTATTCACCCCCTCTAGCCATTAGGACCTTTCAGCGGGGCAGGTGGAGCTGAACTGGAGATGCCGACCTCATGGTCATGTCGCTGAGGAGGCATCCGAGGGATGGGCTGATAGTCATCATCAGAACTATCACTGGGGTCGCTCATGACCATCCCCTCCTGCTGAGCAAGCTCCTCCTCCTCTGTAGCTGCAATGCCCTTGATAATATCATCCTGTTGGGCTGCAGACTCTGGCACATCGGGACGATGGCGGCGTGGCTGACTAGGTGCCTATGGAGTGCTATGACGGATCATCTGTGTCATGTTATAGGCAGAGAACTCAGTCGTAGCACCACTATACTCTACAAGCATCTCTGGTGGCCTCACTGTGACTGCTCTGTGGATAAGGAATGTGATCCAGTGAGCATAGAGCAGCTTGTCTACGTCCTCTGAAGCCCTCAGCTATAGTGTCCTCCATCTCTGACAGAAGAAGATCCCAAATATAAAAAACTGTCTGCTACATCAGAGAGTTGACAAGCCATAGTTGTATACGAGTCAAACCCTCTCTGTATCCCATCCTAGGAAGCAGTGTCCTCCTCATAATAGCCTCAAGCATGCGAGCAGTAGGATTAAGATCACTGGGGTTCCTCCTCGACCCTTCGCCAAAAGGCTCTGTGAAACAGTGACGGACCAAGTTAGTAGGGGGCACATTTCCACCATGCGGGTGTCTGGGAGGTGCAGTCTGTCCATAGCAAACCTCATGAAGTCTGACAGGCTGCTCCTGAAGTCTGAGTATCTCTCTGGCCCTAGTGCTCATCAACCGATAGTCTCTGCCTCTGAATACAAAGTGTATGAAGTTATGGTGCGGGTCAATAAAGAGAGAGGCATAAAATTGACGAACCCAAGATGGAACATATAATCCAGTCCGTCTAATCAAATCTGTCAGCCCCGGCAGATATGCAAGGTAGGGGCGAATGTGCTCTCCAGCTGCTGCAACTATAGAGTCAATATGGCACACCCTCTGAGATATGAAAACTGCACCACTGTTGAGATAAGCATTATAGAAGTCCTCCTGGAGTGGTGTGTAGAAACCCTCTGAAGCTCTCTCATCTCTCCTCAGCGGGAACCACACCTCAAAATCCACGAACCTCACCTACTGCACCTGCTTGGTCGTGGCGTCCCTCAAGTCAAGATGGGTCACTGGAGATGGACCCTGTGGTCTAGGAGGTGGACGAGAACCCCTCCGCTGAGTGTCTGGCCTAGGTGTAACTGGAGCATGGGTACGGCCAAAGCGGCGTAACTATGACTGTAGTGCCTGCTCTGTCTCCTCTGCCTGCTCTGCCTGCTGAGCCTGCTCTGCTAGCGGTGGAGGCACGGCGACGCAAGCCACGGCGAGGGAGATCTTTGGCGTGGGCAGATCTTCGGTGCGGGCGCAGGCGAAGCGGCGGTGGCGCGTGGGAACGACGGTGCAGGCAGGTGGCTCGGGAGCACGAGGAGGAGCGGCGCTAGGGCAGGCGTGGCGGAGCTAGGCAACACGTCGGCGCTTGCGGCGGCTTGGGCATGGGACGGCGGCGTGGAGGCATGGGAGTGGTGATGTCGGCGTGGAGATTAGGTCTAACCTCGGCGCAGAGATTAAATAGGGTGGCCCCCACAAGTCAAAAAACAAAATGGAGAAAAGAGATCTGATGCCGCACGTTTTCTACTGACCGGACACTCCGGTGGTAGCGATCGGATGCTACCACCCAGCGTCCGGTCTATTCCAGAGAGGTCCAAATCCTCTGGAATCGCGACCGGATACGTCCGGTGGACACCGACCGGATGCATCCAGAGTCCGGTCAACCCAGCCTTAGTCTTCTCCACACGACCGGACGCTGAGACGCCTTCTGACCGGACGCTGAAGGGCAGAGTCCGGTCACTCCTTCACAGCAAGTTCACCTCCTGTGAACCGACCGGACGCTGGACATTAGAGTCCGGTGCAGCGTTCGGTCACTGCTTCTTCAACGAATCTTCAAATTTCTTCGTGCTGCCTGTTCCTAATCAAGTCTCAACTCCAATAAGTTTCAAATAAACACCAATTGGGACTGATGTGAGTGACCTCTCTCAAACCCTTAAGTTTTTCAAAATATTTTGCCTTAGGCTATAACCCTTTTTAAGAAAATAGGCAATAAGAGGGCAATTCAAGATAAACGACAAAACAACATTCTTGCATATGCAATACTTGCAAGTAAATCTAGTTGCTTATCAAGTTTGATCCAAGGTTAAGCTTCTTCACACGCTTTTCGGCGGTTATCTTAACCATGTTAGACAAGCCCTATATGCATTATAAAACA